ATGTAGAGTTAGAGGCAGAAGCAGAGCAGCGAGGATGGAAAGTTAGGATTTGTCCAGTAGAAGTAGGATGTAGAGGATTTGTAGCAAGGTCTGTTGTCTCTTTGGTAAGGGAGCTAGGAGCAAGTGGACAGAGTGTGAGGAAAATAGTAAAAGACATGTCAGATGAGGCAGCAAGATCCAGTCAGTGGATTTGGATTAGAAGAAGTAATGGTAGCTGGGGGCCCAGCAGGGGGAGCACTTAGGATAGACAGACTCTAAGGAGAAGCAAGGAAGAAAATCCAGGAAGAGGAAGTGTTTTTAAGTGGAGGGTGTGGCCTGTGTGAGCCTCTTTGAGACCATGCGGTTAGTTCAGGTGAGTTGGTTTGTTTGTATTGCTCTGAATTGGTTTGTAGTGTGTCTCTGACTGTCTAGGCGAGTTTGTTTGTTTTAGGTGAGTTGTTGGAGAGTGGGGGAGTAGGGGGAGGTAGAGCACAGCCTAACCCGGCGGGGGAGAGCTAGCCCAAACAGGCACCTCTCCCTGACTCTACCTCCCTCATTCAAAATGGCCGCCATTTTCTCCAACTGGTTAGGGGAGTTTGTTTGCTGAATCTGCTGGTGTGTTTTGTCCTAGTTGATGATGTTGTGTGTGGTAGCATAGGCAAGGTAAAGGAGAAAGTAGGAGAAAGGAGAAAATAGTTGTGGTGTGAGGAGCAGTGATGGCTGGCATTAGGGGAGTGACTCTGGGACGCCAGTGATCACTGTCTAGCCTCCTGGAGGTGTCGTGGGACCAACTAGACGAAACACTGGTGAAAGGAGGTTCCCACCTGATGACCCCAAAGACATGTTAGTTATCACTGCTCATTAGTCAGCTGAATTAATAGTTATCGTAGGGCTTAGGGAGTTATTCACTGAGTCTGGTCCAGTTTTTACAGCACAAGTTTCTTGTGTTTATCCTCAACTATAAAACATTCCAACAACTACCGGTAATTATATTCAGTGTACACAATAATTAATAAAATCTAATTCAATACCTCATAAGCAACAATAGAATAAGCATTCCTCAATAAAGTGCATCTGGTTTAAACATATTAACATCAATTCAATCACACATAATCATGACGAATTTTCCCCCCATTCGTATAAATCAAAATAAACATTCTATAATTGCGCTGCAATGGCACATTACTCTCATGATACATCGTTATTGTCAACCGCAAGCATTAGCATAAAAACAGCAGCTAGGTGTGCCGTAGCTAATCCACACCAATACATTGACAAATGCAAATGCTAACGATCACAACAGTCAGTCTCACCAATTCCGGAATCGGCGCTGGTTGACGTCTAAAACAGTTGAATGATGTAACAAAAGCATTTAGGATGATATAAACAAGAATCTACCAGTAACAATAGCAATTGTTTGTAGCGACCGACCTATAGCAGCTGCTCCGCGTGCCTCCCCTCACCTTCTGAATGAGAGACAGAGGGGACAGTTTGTAACAGGCGCCGCGAGCGACGCAATTGGACAGCCGCAGCCTGCAGCGTGACGACGCAACCCTACGTAACCGGAAGTTACCGGCAGAACCCGACGGCCTTTCAAAATAAAATAAAATAACCGTCAAATAACGAACTTTGATAATAGAATAATTTTCACCCCGGTTACACAATATATTTGTATATATTAGTATATTTTTTGTCGATGTATGTTTTTTATTCTACGTCGTTGTTTCGTCTGATGATGGAGAAAATAGTGTTCACAAAGGAAGAACTCCTGGCTTTAAAGTGTACCAGATATTGAGTTAAACATCCCATACTGGCTGAGCTGAAGAAGCCGTACCAGGGCTAAGCTAAAGGCTAGGAGATGGAGATACAAGCCTTTTCTACTATCGATCCTCATGGGAAATGTCAACTCCCTGGCTAAAAAGTATGATGAACTGGAACCAGCGAGCATATCGTGAGTGTAGTCTCGTGTTTCACGGAGACCTGGTTAAACGTCAACACTCCCAACCATTGTGTGGATTTACCCAGCTTCACTGCAGTACGAGCGGACAGAGACGCCAGAGCAAGTAGGGAGAATAAAGATGGAGGACTGGTTCTGCTTGTGAAGAATAGATGGTGCAACCCCGGTCATATCAGAGTGAAGGAGAAGATCTGTTGTTGGGATATTGAACTGTTGGCGGTTGGTCTTAGACAGTATAATGTACCGAGGGTGTTCTGACACATCGTTGTCATTGTTTACATTCAACCAAGTGTGACGTCATTCACGAGACTGTTGCGGGAGTACAGACCCAACACCCTGATGCATTCATTGCAATATCGGGGGATTTTAACCATGTCACTCTCACCTCTCACCTGACTGGCTTCACCCAGTATGTTAACTGTCCCACAAGGGAAAATAAAACACTTGATCTGTTGTATGCAAATGTATAGGAGGCCTACACTGCTTCAGCTCTACCACCACTTGGCAGATCAGATCATAATCTGGTTTTTCTTCAACCTTCCTACAAGCCCTTTGTACTGAGGCAGGCTGCAACCACTCATTCAGGAACTGGACCCCAGAGGCAAGTGAGTCTCTAAAAGACTGTTTTGAGTGCACAGATTAGAATGTACTGTTGGAGTCACATATAACAGCAAGGACCCTGACCTTGACCTTGCTTGACACTGTAATACCAGCAAGGACTGTACAATGCTTTCCAAACAACAAACCCTGGATCACCAGTAACATCAAGACCCTCCTCAACCAGAAAAAGGAGGCCTTCAGGGATGGAGACATGGAGAAGCTCAGGGGTGTGCAACATGAGCTGAAGAGGAGATTAAATCAGTCAACGGAGGACTACAAAAAGAAAGTAGAGAGGAAGCTGCAGCACAACAGCACCGGAGAGTTGTGGAAGGGGATGAGGAAATAACGAGAAGAACAGCCAGGCAACATCTGGTGATGCGGACAAGGCCAATGAGTTCAGCCTACAAGAGGTTTGACACAGCCTCACCTGTTCTCTCTCCCACTGCTTTAGCTGCAGCTTCTCCTACAGCATCTCCTTCACAACCTGACACTGCAGCCTCAATTCCCTCCACACTGGGGTCAAGTCTCCTGTCCTTCACAGCAGAGGAGGTGAGGAAGGAACTCAAGAGGCTATGTCCTGGTAAGGCCTGGATGGTGTGTGTCTGAGGCTGTTAAAGGACTGTGCAGCCCAGCTGGCTGAGCCTCTCCAGAGGATCTTTAACTTAAGTCTACAAACAGGGAGGGACCTGGACCCGGGTCCTGTGGAAAATATCATGTCTTGTTCCGGTACCTAAAGTAGGGCGACTGGCTGAGATAAATGAATACAGTACAGCACTGTGGCCCTCACATCACACATCATGAAGACCCTGGAGTGGCTGCTTCTCAGCCTTCTGAGGCCACAGGTTGAACATGCACTTGACCCCCTACAGTTCGCCTGCAAAGAACATATTGGAATGGATGATGCCATCCTTTATATGCTCCACCGGGCCCATTCTTACTTGGATGAGCCAGGTGGTTACATGAGGATTATGTTCTTTGATTTTTCAAGTGCATTTAACACCATCCAACCCCCCATCCTTAAAGACAAGCTGGAAGGGATGGGGGTGGATCCCTGCTTCATGTCCTGGATTGTGGATTACCTGACAAGACGACTACAGTACATCAGGCTGGGTAACTGTGTCTCAGGGACTGTGATGAGCAGCACTGGGGCTCCACAGGGGACTGTTCTGGCTCCATACCTGTTCACCCTGTATACAGCAGACTTTAAATACAACTCTGAGTCTTGCCACATCCAGAAAAACTCAGATGACACAACTATTGTAGTGGCCAAAAGACCTCCAGATGAGTCTGTCCTTTAACTCCTGTCCTATTTATCTTTTACCAAGGTGGAGTGAGCAGTGTGTCTGATGCGCAGTCACAAAAGATCCAGTGACCAGTGTTGTAGCCCGCATCAGGAACAAGCAGGAAGGGGAGTGCAGGGATCTGATGATGGCCTTCAGTGAATGGAGCGACAAGAACTGTCTCCTTCTGAACACCTCCAAGACCAAGGAGATGGTCATTGACTTTTCGGAGGTCTAGGCCCACCCCTTCAGCCAGTCAACATTAGAGGGAAGGAAATTGAGGTGGTGCACACTTATAAATACCTAGGTGTGTATCTGGACAGTAAAGTGGACTGGTCCCTGAACATGGATGTCAGCTCTTTTTCCTCAGGAAGCTCAGGTCCTTTATGAAGCTAACCTCCCTCTAACCTGGTACCTTTAGATTACATGAGCTAGGCTAACAAAGAAACTCACACCTTCCCTCCCACACACACCAGGTGGTCTCAGTGGCCATTTTGAGTAGTTTTGTTTGTTTACCGCCATCTTGTGTAGTCTTCTTTGTTCAGGTCATGTGGTCACAGTGACCACTTTGAATCGGCCATCTTGACTTTGTTTGTGTCCCCACAGACACACACACATATACCTACACACACACACATATACACACCTGTATATACTAGATTAGACATTGTGTTTTTACTCCTCTCCATTGTAGTATGTAAGTATAACTACTGGTGCGTTCAATGTTACACAAGCGTGAATATTCCCAACCTCCACTTTGTAGAATCCCAATCCTTCAACTTTAATTTACTGTTGATATGGTAATTTGGTTATAGTTAGTAAGCTAATTATTAATATTAAGAGTTCCACATTAAAGGTAATAAATTGAGACTGAAACAATATTGGCAATTTTGCCTATTAGTTTAGGCTGGTGCCCCAATGACTTTAATTAATTTCAAAGTTATTATTTAATATTAATATTTTTAATATTAATATTTTCTTAATTTATGATAGCCAATAAATGGATAGACAACCGAAAATCCAACATATTTGGTGTCCAGCTCATGAGTCAGAGCTCAGACCCAACACAACCATCCTCTCCACAACATTCTGGCAGGACAGAGATGCAGCTACAGAAGCAAACGAAGCAAACAATAAATAAAGTACAAAATAATTCATAGGATGATGTCATATGTATGACTCACCAATAAATATCCTCTGAACTGGTTATAGATGATGGCGGTCAGTAGGTTCATCAGACAGTAGGTTCCTGCCAGGAAGAAAACAAATATCTCACTCAAACACATATATTGTGCTATAACAATAACACAATAATCTAACATCAGTATAATATAATCTAAAATAATAATTATCTTTGCTTACCAATGACACTGAAGGCGACAAAGAAGATGGCGTAGCCTCTGTTCAGGGAGTAGGCAGGGATCATCACTAAGGACATGTAGAGAAGAAAAACGAATGAAGAGTAATGATGAAACATAGCTTGTTTATCATGTGACTGGCTCATACCATCTGGATTGTTGGCTGTGGTGAGCAGAACCAATAGAGAGGTGAGGGAGGTCGTCAGGTTTCTGAAGTGTAGCCGCCACTCCCCGTTCTTCTTTGGATCCTGATCAGAGATCGGAGGAGACAGACTGATGATCAGATCAGAAGAGACAGACTTATGATCAGAGACCAGAGGACACAGACTGATGATCAGCGACCAGAGGAGACAGATTGATGATCAGAGACCAGAGGTGACAGACTGATGATCAGACCAGAGGAAACACACTAAGGATCAGACCAGAGGAGACAGACTGATGATCAGAGACAAGAGCAGACAGAATGATGATCAGACCAGAGGAGGCAGACTGATGATCAGAGACCATAGGAGACAGACTGGTGTTAGAGACCAGAGGAGACAGACTGATAATCAGACCAGAGGACACAGAGTGATGATCAGCGACCAGAGGAGACAGAATGATGATCAAAGACCAGAGGAGACAGAATATCTGATCACTGTAGTGTCTACACAGAGTTTAGTAAAGGTGTGACATAGTCAAGGTCTGTATAGCGTAAAGACGGATGTCCATGTGTTGTTTGATTATAAATTATGTTTAGGTTCTATATTAATACTGTGAAAGTTTCAAAGCGCTCAGTCCACAGAGAAATGCAGACAGCCTGTATTCAGAAAGTGAGCCTTAAAACAAACTGTCAAGACTTCTGCCCTCAGCCATGCCCCACTGGGCCACCCTCCAAACCTTGCAGGATTTGGTTTGAGTTGAGTGTTTAGCTGAAATCTGCTATATTTTTATTAGATCACTCAGAAAAGAGTCAGCCAATCAGAAGAGAGGCTCAGAGCCCCCTTTTTTCTGATTGGCTCACCGACTTGTTGAGAAAAATGAGAGCGGAGATGTAAAACTACATTGAGATGGTTTTTATATCTCTTATGGATCAACACTTCAAATAATAAATATAAAATATTGGTTCCAAGCTGTTTAGGACTATTGATTCATCAAATTATCAAAATATAAATTAATAATAAAAAGAGTCATCAGTTGCAGTCCTTAGTTAAATGTCACACAAAGGCAGATAATGAGCACCGGGCTCCAGGATGATGTATGGAGTGATGTTGCTGCAGTGATATTTCAGTGCCTCTCTTGTACTGTTATTCAGCTCACCCTCCTGGTTATAGCTGGAACTACAAACAAGGAGCTTCAACTGTGAGCTGCACCTGAATCTGAAGCTCAGATTAAATCTTATATTATATTTTATATCTGATACAGTTTGGTGAATCAGGATCATATTGAGTCAATGCTGAATCATGAAAATAACTATTAACAGTTAACAATTTGTTCTGTCACCATGGCTACAGAGACAATAATCACCAGGAAGAAAAATGCCCTGCTATGATGATTAAAAGAAATAATACATATAATCAGAACTCATACGGACTCTTATTATTTCTGAGCAGAGTTGTGAGCATTCATCTCATTTTCATATCAGAGTAAAGTACACTGTGTGTTCAGCTTCTCTTACCCAAATCACATGAACCTTGAACAACCACTGGGATTTACATGAGACAGACAGACGATACGTTAGCAGGATCAGTTCATGGTTTTGATTTGTTGATAATAAGAAAGATGGACTATGCGACCAGACTTCACTAAGGGCAGAAATATTAAATTGTGGCCACAGAATCTAAGACCACTGGGGTCAGGGAGGTGGGTGATTGGGCAGCTGTGACAGCAAGAGTGGAGGACTGTACATACAAAATATGGTTTATCTGGGTAGCAGTTACAGAGACAAAGCTGTGGAGCAGTTCAGAGCTCTGACTCCAGGAGGTGGATATCATCCCTTAACTGTGAGTGAGCAGGGGTACAGTCCACGCACAGGCACACTGAGAGCTGGGTTTTAGTCGAAGTGTAACTCATAAAAAGAAGTATTCCAAAGATCAGTAGAAGAATAGATTTAAAAAGATTAACAGCTGAAAAGATAGTTGGAGAGGTCGAACAAAATAACAGTCCTTAACGATCCAAAAAAAATATCCAGGTCCAGGTGGGCGGGGCTTTAGGCACAGCTGAGCACGATGACTGCTTTGTTGTGACATCACAAAGTTATAGAAGTCCTGACGGCTCAGTATAAGGATCAAAGAACACATGGACATCCATCTTTATACAATATGGACCTTTAAGTAATTTGTCAATGTGTGTTTTAAGTGTCCACAAGCTGGTATGACACACATCACAGATGTGTGTGTGGTTAGCTGATACCTCTCATCTACATTGGCTGAGCCCAGCACCAGCAGTCCCACCTGGGTCTACCTGAGCCACAGACTCAGCTGAGCCAGGACCATCGCCTGACCCGGCCTGGGAGGGAGGGAGGGAGGGAGGGAGGGAGGGAGGGCGACACGAACCCCACGCATCAGCCCACAGATCTCCGTGCATCACTCTGCCCCACCGATAACTCGCCTCATCCTAACGACACCATTGCCGCTAACGAACGAACGAACGAACACACACACACACACACACACACACACACACACACACACACACACACACACACACACACACACACACTTTAATGACCTGAACTCACCTCAGTCTTAGCAAACAGCAGCATGCCGATCATAGTGAAGAGGCAGAGGTGGAGCGCCAGCAGCAGGATGACACTGCAGAGACATGACAACACACACTCAGGAAGGGGTGGACTCTGTTTATTAAAGATACACTCCAGCTGGTTACAGAGGAGCTCCTGCTTCGAGTGTGTTTTCTCCTGTCACTTCCTGTTTAAATGTTTTCTTCTTATGACATCCTCAATGAGAGCCTTTTAAATAAAACACCACAGGTTAAACTGGGTTTCTAAGTAACAGATTTTAAAGCTTGGTTACTGGATGATCTGTATTATTAGATGCTGCTTTACCTATCAAGAAGAGCCAGATATTTTATAACACAGCTGCTCATCTCAAGCAGCTCAACACTCATGACTCAACCTGGACAGATTCATGTCCATCTGATTCCACCTGAGTCCACCTGTCAGTCACCTAATGTCTTCTTTTAAACACTGATGCCTGAAATAACTTATAATAAAAAATATCAAAAAGGTATTAGGAAGCTAGTTAGTAATCATTAACTAAAACTAATGAAATAACAAAAACTAGATGTGAAGAAACATTTTTGTTAACAAATAAATATAAAAACTAGAAAATACCTGGAGAAATTTGGAATATACCTACTGCAAATGAGTGCCTGTGAGGACAAATAACAAAGGCCTTGCAATGGTGAACTGTGCTGTTAATCAGCTGCGGCTTGTGCTGTAGCTGTTATACACCGTTAACTAACTTAGAAAATAACAAATTAACAAAACTATTGGGACCTAATGACAAAATATAAACCACAAAACACTCTAACATTAACTTTCACACACACACCTCCCACCAAAGGAAGGCAAACTTAACCTCTCACTTGCTTCCGTTGGAAACACTAAGCTAACACCGACAGTTACACATTTAACATTTAAGCAAAATTATCGAAAGCACATAACAATACACAAAACAGAAAGCACACAATATTTACAACATGTACAACCCATTTTCACCTAATATACCCACCTGTGAGGACAAATAACAAAGGCACTGTGGGTGAGCTGGTCTTCAGTTGCTTTACTTAAAAACGTTAACTGCCAACTGAAGAATGCAGCTCGCCCACAGCTTATATAGCCTCACAGGTGGTCTCGTGCCTGGAATAAGAATGTTTAAAATTTTAACGGGGGGGTGTCTGTAAAAATATAAAACATATATACATATAAACAACACACATTAATGAGTGGGCAATTAAATTAATAAATAATATTAAATAACTATCCTATGTGCCACATAAACATCACAGAGATCAAAGAATTTCTTAATGAGCTGGTTTGAACACTTGTTTCTAGCTGAAAGACACAGAGCTGACTCAGAACTGGGTGTGATTTTGGCCTCTCAAACGACTGCACTGCATATCTGGCTTTGGTGTTTCTAGAGTAAACAATGTGGACACAGGAGCGAGCATCATTTTGAGGCTCGTGTTAAAATACTGTAAGTCTCTGTGCTAAGGGAGACACATTGTATGAAACAGGACAAATTTGTCTACTATTGAGGAAGCCGTCATGTGTGCAGATTGAAATATGTGGACAAGAGGACAAGTTAAACTGAATTTTTCAGTTAAACTGAAAAGTTCTAGAGCTTCTCCCACTCTAGCAATGATATTATCCGCTCTAGCTCTGAATGTTTCGTGTAATACACACCCATTATAAAAGGTCAGAAACGGTCAAAAACTGTAAAAAATTTTAATACAAGCTTAATAGCTGAAAGGCTTGTCTACAGTTTAAAGGCTGAATGAAGTCTGTAGCAGAAAGTATGCTGAAAAAGTTAAAGTTTAAAGAGGCTGAACATTTCAAGGATTTGAACATGGTCTCCATTCATTTAAATGGCAGAAAAAAAAATCATAAAAAGATTAACATTTCAAAAATTATAAATATCAAAAAGTTGAATACCTATAATCTACAGAAAAAGGCGAACGTTTTGATAGTCGAACACTTTCTGTAGGACAAAGTATGAAGGAGTAGGTAGAGACTGTAAAAAGGCGGGAGTATAAGAATAATAATATGAATGCCACAGCATTCACACTAATAAAGAGAAACATTTTTGACCTGACAACAACATATAGTGGGACTGCTTCATTCAGCAATCCCACCAATAAAATTCTAGAAAATACATTTCATGCTGAAAATGCGTGTGAATGCTGAGAGCTGAATGAGATTGTTGAAGCAATGCTGAAGAAGCTGAAGCAACTGCTGAAGCAATGCTAAAGTAGCTCAAGCAATGACTGAATATTAAAAGCAGAAATTGTAAGCTGGAGGTTGAATGGCATAAAATGGTTGAAAAAGACCTGAATTGTTGATGAAAAGTTTAACAAACAGCATGAAACTCAAATGTACAAAATGTACAAAACAAAGCTAAATGGCTTAAAATGGCTGAAATGGTGACAATGCTGTTTCACTGGGTGCCCACTTGTCTTTCTCTTTGAAAAAGGTAGCACCTGGACTGGTTAAAGGTAATCCATCAATCAGAATGAGTTCCAAAGGTAATCGACCAATCACAATGAGCTCCAAAAGTAACCCACCAATTATAATATATGTAATGTGGAGTCAGTTAAATTTCAAGCTGAAATTAACAGCCAACTGTTTCCTGAATGAAACTGTGTCTATCTGCCTGTTTATCTGCCCGTCTGTCTGTCTACATATCTTTCTATGCTTCTGTTTGTGTGTGTATATATGTGTGTGTGTCTCTGGTTTGTGTGTGTGCACGCGTGTGTGTGTGTGTGCACACACGCGCGCGTGTGTGTGTGTGTGTAAGAGACAGAGTCTGGCTGTTGAAGACACAGATGTCATACAAATCTATGGAAGGAAGGGGTCAGCAAACCTCTCAAACTCCTGCCATTGAATACAAAACGGTACATAATATCACATGGTCAGCGCCAGAAGACTCTCCTGAACACCTCCATGTGGTTATGGTGTTTCTTGAGCCAAAAATGTAGGAATGGGAGCGAGTTACCATAAAGGGTCAGATCTACTTTTCTACTGAAATCCACTACTGAATTTTGTTTAACGCAGTTTAAATTCTGTTTGTGCTAAGGTTGCCACTTTACATGAAACAGGACAAATTTGTCTACTAATAAGGAAGAAATGATGTGTCAAGATCAAAATATGTGGCTGTAAGAATGAGTTACATAGATTTTTTTCAGACAAATCTTAGAGCAGAGGTGTCAAACTCTGGCCCGCGGGCCAAAAATGGCCCGCAGTGTAATTATATTTGGCCCGCGAGGCAATATCAAATGACTACTAGAGCTGGCCCGCCGGTATTATACAGCGCATGCACCGCTAATACTACAAATCCCAGAATGCTCTGCTCGTGTTTTGGTGCGTCAATCAGTACAGGACCCATTAACACCCTCTCCTTTGTTGACAGTAGTCATAGCAACCTCATGCTGCTACTGGTACCGTGCTACCCATCCCAAAAATGGCGAAAAGAAAGGCAGAAAACAGGAGCTTTCTGGGAGGCAGAATATCTGTTTACATGTGTAAAAGACAGACCTGTTTGTCTTGTATGTGGAGCCAACGTGGCTGTAACCAAAGAGTACAACATTAGACGACACTATGAAACGAAACATCACGACAAGTACAAGGACATGGACATGACTCAAAGACGCCAGAAAGTAGAGGAGATGAAAAGAAGGCTGGTTTCACAACAGACTATGTTCAAAAAAGTAATATCACAAAGTGAGGCTGCTGTAAAGGCGAGTTTTATTGTGGCAGCAGAGATCGCAAAATCAGCCCGGCCCTTCAATGAGGGAGAGTTCGTGAAAAAGTGCATGATGAAAGTTTGTGACCTCGTCTGCCCAGAGAAAAAGCAAGCATTTTCAAATGTGAGCCTGAGCAGAAACACAGTAGCTGATCGCACATGTGATCTTGCCACCAATCTATATGACCAGCTGATGGAAAAGGGAAAAGATTTCGTTGCATTCTCCCTTGCTGTGGATGCGAGCAGCGACACATCTGATACTGCCCAGCTGGCAGTCTTCATCCGTGGAGTGGACTCAAATCTGTGTGTTACGGAGGAACTTTTGGGTTTAAAATCACTGCATGGCACAACCACGGGAAAGGAAATCTTTGAAGAGGTTTCCAAATGTGTAACTGAAATGAAGCTGACCTGGCATAAACTCGTGGGATTAACGACAGATGGTGCGCCAGCGATGTGCGGTCAAAAGAGTGGACTGGTGGGCAGGGTACGGGAGAAGATGCAGGAGGAGAACTGTGCGGGTGAACTAACTGTTTATCACTGCATTATACATCAAGAAGCACTGTGTGGCAAAGCCCTAAAGATGGAACATGTTATGACCACAGTAACACGAATAGTTAACTTTATAAGAGCCAAAGGTCTAAATCACCGCCAGTTCAAGTCTCTTTTGGAGGAGTGTGGTTCGGAATACGCAGACGTGCCTTATCACACAGAGGTGAGATGGTTAAGCCGAGGAAAAGTACTGAACAGATGTTTCGAGCTCCATGAGGAAATATGTCAGTTTCTGGAAAGCAAAGGGAAAGACACAGCAGAGCTCCGGGAGCAAAAGTTTCTGTGTGAGCTGGCCTTTATGTGTGACATCACGAGCCATCTCGATGCGCTGAATTTGCAGCTTCAGGGGCGGGAGCGAATCATCACAGACATGTACGCTGCAGTGAGGGCTTTTAAAACTAAATTGTGCCTGTGGAAGAATCAGATGCTGCAAGGAAACCTGGGCCATTTTCCCCGCTGCCAAACAATTAAAACGCAGATCTCTACCGCCGTGTTCCCATGTGCACAGTTTGCTGAAAAACTCAGCGTACTTGGCGCCGAGTTTACCCGGCGATTTGCCGACTTTGATGTCCAGAAATGTAGGTTTGAACTGCTCAGTAATCCGTTTGCAGTTGACGTGGAAAACGCACCTATCAACCTCCAAATGGAGCTGATTGAACTCCAGTGTAGTGACACGCTGAAGTCAAAGTATGATGTGGGTGCTGCACAGTTTCCACATTTCATCCCTGACACAATGCCTCAGCTCCGCACCCAAGCTGCTCAGATGCTCTCCATGTTCGGCAGCACTTATCTATGTGAGCAACTGTTCTCCTCCATGAAGATGACCAAAACATCTCACAGGAGTCGTCTGACAGATGAACACCTTTGCTCGAACCTGAGGATTTCCTCAGCTCAGAGCCTGAGCCCAGATATTGATGAACTAGCATCCAAGAAGAGATGCCAGGTATCTGGCTTGAACACAGAGTAGATCTGTGTGTAGCAAACTGAGCTACAATTAAAGTTGTCTTTATGCACTTTTTCTTTCTAGTCCAAGGCATGGGCTTGAATGGTAGCACGTTCATTGAAGGATATTATTACTAGTCAATTGGTTTATTATTGTTATATTATTTTTAAATTTATTATTAGCCTGTGGAGAAAGATTACTGTTAAATTTAAATTTAAAGAAGGCTGCAAATAAAAAAAGAGGCACACGATTTTTATTTAAATTTTATTTAAGAAATGAATGCCATTGATGTGTGTTTTTTTTTTTTTGAAATTCGATTTTGCATGTGTGCAATATTAAGCTATATCAAGCTTTGTTTGTTCCATATTGTTTGAACTTGTTTGGGTTCATTTTTTCAATAAATATCAATGTTGGCCCGTGACTTTGTCCAAGTTTTAAATTTTGGCCCACTGTATATTTGAGTTTGACACCCCTGTCTTAGAGCTTCTCCCACTCTAGTGATGTCATCCACACTAGCCCTGAACATTCCATGCCATACACACCCATTATAAACTCAAAAATGATCTGAAGAAAGCATGAAACTAAAACTGTGATAATTCAAAAACTATACAAGATATCAAAAAGATGAATACAAGTTTAATAGCGGAAAGTCTTTTTAACATTTTAAAGTTTGAATAAAGTCTGTAGCTGAAAGTATGTTGAAGTAGTTGAAGCTTAAAGAGAATGAAGCTTTTAAGGATTTGAACATTCATTGTAAATTTCAGAAAAAGCTTAATATTTTGAAAATCATAAATAGTAGAAAAAAAGTTGTATACATTCGATACTCTACAGAACAAGCTGAACATTTTGATAGTTGAATGGTTTTTGTACAAAAAAGTATGAAGGAGTAGTTAAAGACTGTAGAAAGGCGGAAGTAGTAAGAATAAAACAAAGATTTGAAGAACAATAATGTGAATGCCTCAGCATTCACACTAATAATAACTAGAAAATGCATTTCCATCTGAAAATGCATGTGAATGCTGAGAGCTGAATGAAATCGCTGAAGCAACGGTGAAGAAGCTGAAGCAACTACTGAAGCACTGCTGAAGTAGCTGAAGCAATAGCCAAAGATTAAAAGCAGAACTTGAAAACTTGAGTTTAAATGTCCTAAAATGCAGTTCTGCTATAATAGTTTAAAAAGCAGCTCATATTAACTGATGAACAGTGCTTTGAAAAGTTAGATGCCAAAATGTTTGGGACACACACAGACACATCAGTGGCTGTGGCAGCTGGAACCATGTGTGGTACTGGCCCAAGAAGAATAAGCGCAAATAAGGCTCACACCATTTGACTTATTGACTTGAAATTTGACATACAGGTCCAGCTCAATGTGCTCTACAAAAAAGCCTCTTAGACCATTAATGTGCGCCTGGATAGATTTTTTGCTAATTTGGATAATTTGAAAAAGAGTAAGATGAATAAAACTTTATGAATTTTGATATCAGCAACACCAAATTTGGTATACAGCCTTATAAGACAAAAATACAAATTTCCTTTATAAATGATCAAGATCGGTTGAAAAACATGGCTGCCATCAACAAAAATATCTTTGCAAAAGGCAGTGCTTGCGGCTGTAATTTTTTTTGTTTTTTCTACATCATATCTCAAAAATAATATTTGTGACAACACATTTTATGGCTGCATCGTCACTATTTTCTGAGTCAAGATTCAAGAGGAGAGCAGGAGATAAAGGAGGAGTCTGGTGCTTTGATGCAATGTTGACGGTGCAGATGTGGAGCACTGCTGAACATACATCATGACATTGGATTTCATGTGAAGGCCGTTTTGTAAGAGTTTGATGTAAGAGCAGATCTAGCGCGAACTTCAAACAGGCAGGAATACTATTTCATTTTATTGTCTCGTGGTTTTTTGATTGTTTATTGTAACAGCTTGGTTAGAGGTCTTGATGATGTGCTATTACTGTCTTTAATAGTCGGTTAGGCAACATGTTGTTATGATGATGCTAAATGAGGAAATCTGTTGCTTCATGATTACTTTTACTGCACATTTTTTTCATAACTTTAGAGCTAAAATACACAAATTAATCTCTCTTTTTCTGTGTGTGGGGAAACCTAAAGGTAGCCTACAAGCTGACAGGCATACTATGAAATATAAACCTGCCAGCATTACTGCTCCCCACAGCAATAATGGCTAATGCAGCTAAATACTTTATATACTTTATACTAATGTATAATTAATAATGTAACGCAATTATCTTTTCAAGCAGTCATAAGTAATGAGTACTTAACTTAAGTAGCTTAACCAAGATTGTTACTGACCTGTGCTATTTTTACATTATATTACACTTGGCATATACCTTTATTCTGTAACTGTCACTTATGGCCACAGAGACTTAGAGACACACTCACTGTTTGAATTATGTAACATAACCATAACCATGAATGAGGCAATAAAGATCTCAGACAGGCCTGTCAGTGTAGAAGAGTCAGATACCTGGCAATCTCTGGCAGAGTCCTCTTGATGCACTTCAGTGTCTTTTTCATCAGGGAGGAGTTCTGTAGGAGGAAGAACGGTCGCAAGAGTCGCCGCACTCTCAGTTTCTGCAAAAAAAACAAAAAAAAAAACAAACAAGATCTTTTTCAATATTATGAATATCTCATTTAGTGGGAAATACAGCAATATCCAATATTATCAGCTCAAGCCTACTGAACATGGCTGTTTGATTAAGTAACACCTGAGCACACCTCACCTCGTCACACACCATGCTGACAGACAACACCCAGTCAATGATGGAGACTGAGATGACCACAGTGTAGCCAATCAGCCATTTGCTCTTCCTGAATTCATCCCAGCCAATCAGGTAACTCTGAGGGCAAATCAGACAGAGTGAAGCGATGGTTCAAATAGAAAAACAAGCAGGAAATTAACGATGCAAGCAGCGTTGAGCGGGCCCTCGCACTCCGGCACTCCTGGAATGGCTTGCAGCAGGCTGGTTAAAGCAGCTAAGCATCTTAGTGACCGCCAGACACCGCGCCCAGGGGTTAAGATTTTCTGCACAGTCCGTGTGGCAGCAAAGAAGATGTACTGCATTTTATATGCATTCTTAATTGTGTCCACTGTGTGAAGCCAGAGACCACGCATCAAGCAGACATTAAGCTCCTGTACATCAAGTGTAGACCCGTTGATGAAATGTAAATAAATGATGATTGTCACTCAAGGGGTACTTCCTGTTTTCAGTAGGTGGCACTTCAGTGTGAGACAATCATCAAACATGTGAAATTTGGGACCGATTGAAGAATGTCACTTTAATGCTCGGGCCCTAATAAGTATAAAAACTACCACTAGAACAAATAACTACAAACCATATGAAAATATAATATGTCGCAACCAGGCAGCTGCCACTCTAACTGTGTTCACCTTAACAGCGAGGTCCAGACAGAAGATCATGAGGCAGACAATCTCAATGCTCTCGGTGAAGCCGCAGGGAGGCTCCCAGGGCATGGAGCTATGCCGGGGGTCTGAGGAGACTGACAGGGAGGACGGGCGCTCCACAAAGGCCAGCAACAACACCACAGTGATGGTCAGGCCCAAGCCCCTGAGACAGGACAGGAAGAACAGGTGAGATGGACAGCAGGATTTAGTCTGTGTGCTTTATCATCACTGTCATCCTCAAGTAAGTAAAGGAACAGTCTGACATTTTGAGAAATGCATTTATTTGTTTAGAAAGAGGTGAACAGATGAACATAAATCTCATATCTGAGCACTAAATATAAAGTAAGAGAGCATCCATTTAGCCTAGCTTAGCATGAAGACAGGAAATTAGTTCTGCAAATCTCACTGATAAATGTTATACTGTCGTCAGCATGAGGTGGCCAAGCAAACTGTAGAGGTACCAGTTCACCAGTCACGGCTCCTATCATGCAACTCCCCATAAAAGCAGTGTTTGTTCAGCAAATTATTTACTTTCACCTTTGGACAGAGCCAGGCTAATTGTTTCCCCCTGCTTCCAGTCTTTATGCTAAGCTAAGCTAACTGCCTTTTGTACACATGTACACATCCAGTTTTAGCTTTTAAAGTGCTACAGTATGACCCAAAACCAAGGACCTGCTAAACCTAAGGTAATGCCACCATTATTAATATTATAGACTACATCTGGGCTTCTCCTGCTGTGATGTGTCAAAACGTCTGTGTAAAAAGGCCTTTTGGTAGTTTTGGTGGGTGGGAAGCCAGTGAGGGATCATATTCTTGTCCCTGCACCAGCCTCTCCTGCCTGTTGACCTGAGTGTTACACCTTGACAACACCATGTGTATCAATCACAAAAATAAAAGCCAATCAAATTTTAAGGCTTATATTATATACTAGACCCCCTCCCCACACAACTTGTTAAAGCCTGCATTCCCTCTCTGGTCCCCCTCATTTCTGCCATCATCCACTCCTCTCTCACCACTGGAACTTCCGTCCTATCTCCAATCTACCCTTCATCTCCAAAATCCTCGAAAAAACTGTTGCTTCCCCACTCCATTCTCACCTATCCCACAATAACCTGTATGAACAATTCCAGTCCGGTTTCCGCTCACTCCACAGCACTGAAACAGCACTCATTAAAATCACTAACGACCTCCTTATGGCAGCTGATTCTGGACTCCTCACCATCCTCATCCTCCTCGACCTGAGCGCAGCCTTTGATACCATCTGTCACACCACTCTCCTCAACAGGCTATCTTCCATTGGCATCACCCACACTGCATTAGACTGGTTCACATCTTACCTCTCTGGCCGCACTCAGTTCATTCAACTCAAGTCCTTTAAATCCATCCCCTCCTCCGTCACTTCCGGTGTGCCCCAGGCTGTGTCCTGGGGCCCCTCCTCTTCATCATCTACCTCCTTCCCCTGGCAATATCTTCCGCAAATTTAACATTGACTTCCACTGTTACGCTGATGATACCCAGCTCTACCTCAAACCTTCATCCACTCTCCCGCCCACCTCCCTAACTGATTGCATCACTGAAATAAAAACCTGGTTCACTCTAAACTTCCTTAAATTAAACAGTAACAAAACCGAGGTTCTCCTCATTGGCACCAAATCTACGTTATCCAAAACAGTTTTTCCCTCACTATTGATAACTCCTCCGTTTCACCCTCCCCCCAGGTTAAGAGCCTGGGTGTCATCCTTGACAGCACACTATCCTTTCAATCCCACATCAATAACATTACCCGGTCTGCCTACTTCCACCTACGAAACATTAATCGCCTCCGCCCCACCCTTACCCCCCACACTGCCGCCATCCTTGTCCACAGCCTCGTCACTTCCCGTCTGGATTACTGTAACGCCGGATTTCCACCGGGGCCGTCAGCGCCGCGGAACGTCAGCGTCGTGGTTTTGCTCCGTCCTCTGCCCCGCGTCAATCCCCACCGGACGTTACGGCAGCGCAGCGCTGCCTTGCGAGCCAGCCGTATTCACGCGAGAATACGGAACGTACGCAAGATCGTTGCTCTTGATACAGTGCAGAGCGGTTGATATAACAGAGTGGCGACATCAAAAGCTGTCGCCACTCTGTTAATATCAACCGCTCTGATACATAATGTTGATGTGAAGTTAGATGACGTGCGTGTTGTGTTTTATTTTGAAAGGGGGCGGAAGTGTTTTACTTTGATACTGTGTCTGACTTCCTGTCTGGTGCAATCTACTCTGTTGAGCTTGACGCGATTTAGCATCGGCAGCGTCAAAAATAGAACTGCTACGGATTGATAGCGCTGCGGCACGGCGAGCCGCTGCTGGGACGCTGCTGAGACGCGTCGCAGCGCTTCTGGTGGAAATACTAACATTGATTAGAGTGGCAGCGTTTGGCTGCGGTGACCGCGGCGCTGACGTTCCGCGGCGCTGACGTTGCCGGGGAACGCCGGATTTCCACCGGGGCCTTCAGCGCCGCGGAACATCAGCGTCGCGGTTTTGCTCCGTCCTCTGCCCCGCGTCAATCCCCACCGGACGTGTTACGGTAGCGCACCGTAGAGAGGAGATGGATTACTCCTAATAACGGCTAATAACGGAATACCTTACCTGACCTGACCTTAACTTACCTTACAGAGACTGGAGTCATTTCCCAAATTATGTTGAAAGTTGACAAAATTCCATCACATCTATTCCTCAAAGCACTTAAGGACCAGGTTTGGTTCATTCTGACAGTTTTTGGCTGGTTAGGACAGATTCTTTCCCCTATGATGTTTAACACTACAAATCTCTGCGTTCAGTGAAGTGACCTTTCTCAGAGCAGACATTTGACTGGTCATAATAGGACCATTAATGATGGCTGTGGTTTATTCACTTCACTCAGTAAGCCGTGACAGGACTCTGACACTGCACTACACCTGTGATATTCTCTGTGAGAGAGGCCACTGTATGCAAGGATCAGCAGCTCTCCAGTCTCTGTCCCTGCACACATGTGACACTAAAACATTTTAATTCATACATGACCTGAGCAGGTGTTAGAAGGTGTGAACTTACCACTGGCAGATCCTGGAGTAGTACCATCGGTACAGGCGGAGCGAGCTGGCATCCACCCGGTGGTTGATGGACCGATACTGTAAGCAAATAAACTTTATTACTACAGGATTTCTCAAAACAAGTGCTTTGCAGAAGAAACTACAAAATAAGGGAAGACGACAATACAGTAGACAGCAGACAAAGTAGATGAGGAAAACTTAGTTTGTTTAAAATGTACACTGGCACACTGAGACTCTGAGTGAGGCTGTTCCAGATTCACCAATCTGACTTTTTTCCTCCTGATATCCATTTTGAACACCGAGTTAAAATCTGCTACCAATGATGTCTTATTCCCAAATTTAAAATCTGTAAAGCTCACTGCATGAAACTCATATGAGTCTAGAATTGTGTGTCACTGTCACACTGTGACTCAATTGCAACTGATACTGAACAGAAACACAGACTTTTTAGTTGGACCAGCCCTATAAACACAAATGTGCCTGACTGAGTGAGTGAGTGAGTGAGTGAGTGAGTGAGTGAGTGAGTGATGGAGTTACACCATTGGTTGGCAAGCCTAGTTTTGGAGTTTCTTCAATGATTGTTGCTCTTTCAAAATGATTTAGTGTGAACAAGTGTGTGTTGCATCTTTGTCGCTTTCCAGAGTCCTTTACCGAATTTTTTTTTTTTTTTTTTAAAAAGGCACTGTGACAAATCTAGAGACTTTCTGGACAAACCTCAGCTACTTTCCACAGAAGAGAGTCTCCAGTACAGCCTAGTACAGTCTACAGCACAAGGTAAAGCTTTCCCTCCTCAGACACACCTCTCTTTGCTGACTATATGTCAGCTGACGTGACTGATCTTCTAACTTTCTCTGTGGAGTGATCGTGTTAAAAGTAAACCCAGCTAAAATCACATCTCAGTCTTTGTCTTTAACTGATGCATTTGTTGATGTTGTCAGATGACATTGTGGTTATAATATCAGAATTTTAGCAGCAGCTTGAAGTGACAGCTTGATAACATGTAGTCCTAATGGACCACATTTCAGTCACTGTTTCACACTTGTTCCATTGTCATGACAACAGAAAAAGAAAAATCTGTCAATGAGAATAGCTCTACTGTGAATTCAGCTGTATTAAAATACTGTATATGTGAGCACAGAGAGGAGGAGAGAAGTGAACAGATAAAGTAGCCAGCCTGAAACCAGCTGACTCAGCCATCACCCTCACTCAGCCAGAAGTCCCTGCTCTTCTTCTCTAAGTGTACAGGTTCCTGCCAATGTGATGCTTTGTTTGTCTGAACCTACATTTTGAAATAAGTTCTAAAAGTGAGAGGGAGCCATCAGAGAGAAGCTAAAGCTGGTGTGATCCAAAAACACTCTCTGTACTGTGGACAGAGGCAGGTCTTACAGTAGTCGATGTGTCATGTAATAAAGCACTGAATAAGGAAATTAATTGCACTTACCTGTATGGCGTCCTCGATGAAGACAATAGCTTGTTGGACGTAGAGATCCTCATCATCTGTGGACAGAAACAAAAGGGAGAGTAACAGGAGCATCTGAACTTCCTCTGTCTCAGAAACAGACATAAAAAAAGAACTGACAAGAAACTGTCACTCAGTGAACATGCTGACATAGATCCTGTAGAACAGAGCATGCTCTCTGACAGACAGCAGAGACTGTCTGTTGTTGGCTGTGGAACTGGTCGGATCAGGAGCGGAGATAAAGGTTTGTTTTTTCTTCAGGCAAAACTGGGAAAAACAGGAACTGAGACACAGCTGAGTGCTGCGGTGAGGGTGTGGTCCACAAGGCTTAATCTCTATCAGTGGAGATCTTCATCACAACCAACAATACAGAGGTGTAGCAGTCAAAAGAAACAGATGGTTAGTTTGATGTATTAGGTCAGTGGTGCTTGACAAAGGTTAGATATTATGGAGCTTGTTGGAAGTGAAGCAGCTCTGCCTGAGGGGCAGGCAGAGCTGCAGGCAGACCAGGGGCAGTGTGGGGTTTCAAACCTGGGACCCAGATGGAGCAGGGTGCAAACAAAACAGTAACAGAAGATGAAATTTACAGGAGAATCACACACATTTAAAAAGTAAAAGTAGTAACGTATCGTATAGCGTACACAAATATATTACAGGTATTTGTGTGAGACCTGATCCTCCCCCAGGCCTGAGCCCTCTGACCAATGACGGGTGTCACGAGACATGAGCTTCATATTTTTTGTTTTTGTTTATCGTCATACAAAAGGCTCCATGTACCTAGTGAAGAATTAATAACTCATTCATAACTGACAACGTCACTGCATGAGGACATCAGGGGTGGGAAAAGAAGGGAGGATCAAGGAAAACAAGTAAAAGACACTCGCAAAATTCATAAATTCAGTTATAGAGTATCTTCTCTGTTGCTCTGAAACTCTCATGATTCAATAAGTTTGCGGAGCTATGAGAACAGCTACCGCTAGAACCTGTGAGTAAAATAAACAGGTGACATTAGATACACTAACAAACTGCTGTAAATTTACAGGAAAATTTAAACAGTATAATCCTGTTATCTTTAAATGCAGTATATTACTGCAAAATATTTTCTCTGAAATTGTTTATAAAAGTATTTTACAGTATTATTGCTTGGAGGAAAGAAAACAGTAATTTACAGTGTTTTTTTTAATGCATTTTGGGAAAACAGAGTGAGACACCTTTGACTGCACAATGCAGTTTGATTTTTTTCACCCTTCTTCAGCCTTAAAATGAATAGGTGAGTGCCTTTTTGCCTTGCTCGTTAGCATCGGCAAAATATCACATTTCCAATCAAGTTGTATTGATTATCTAGTAGAATGCCATCAAATAAGACAAGTTATTTTACTTGTAATGTTAGTCTTTAAGACATATCTCTTCCTGACTTATCTTTATGTTTAGGATTATTTTTGTTAAAATGAACTGTATTCAGAGTGAATGTAGAGAGCATTTGACTTGAATTAAGTTTAAAGTCATTTGAGATCAGAGTCTGCACTGACACAAACACAAGCAAACAGTGTTTACTTTCAGCTAACGTTAGCTACTTCGAAGTACAGCTCTACAGTTGCTGGAAAAAATCCTTCTGTTGTGATCTGAAAACATTGGTAACACTGGAATGGTAACTTTCTATCACCCGTTTCACTGGCAGTTTCACCATGTGACAGAGAGAGGAGCTGGACTCTGATCCTGATCCTCCAAACTACAGGGTGAGTTTAATCTTAACCTTACTTTATGTTAGCATCTGCTAAGTGAACATCTCCAAAGGAGCTGCTGATTTTATTTAAAAAAAAGTTACTTTACTGTCAGTACTGAATTGACAGGGAGCTTGTTTGCTAAAGTAAGCCAGCTAGCTAAACTGTCATCATTTGTTACTTCCACCATTATCACAATGAACAGAGCAGACATAATGTTCAGCTCTATATCACAACACCTTATAATGTATATATCAAAAAGAACAGGACTCATCTGTCAATGGGTAGAAGGATTTCAGTTTCCCTGGTACATACCATTTGCAGTGTGACAATGTAAATGCTCTTTTTTGTCAAATTTCAGGTGAAACACCAGGAAGCTGTATTCACCACTTCATGATCAGCATTGAGGGGCATGTTCTTTGTGAAGTCACCCAGCCAGCTGGCCACGCTCGTTGCAGTCTTTTCTACTCATTACAGCTTCAAACTTGAGTCCAAAGATGACACTGCAAGCACACTGGAATTAATTCAAAAGGTTATAGATGCTTACATCCTTCAACTGGTACTGTGTGCTCACAGCAGCTTTGATCATGTTGACCTTGTGTTTCGTCTCACAGGTTACATACAAGCTGCGTAAAACATCTGATTACTAGAGCATGTTAAGGAAGCTTTTCGGACACTAATCAAGGCGAAACAAACTTTTACTTAACCTGCACCATGAAAGTACATGTTTCTATTTCCCCACGCTGTAACGGATATTGGTAGAACCCATATGCAGCTCCACACACCGCAGGTACGATTGGTAATGACCTTTAATTATGAACCAGCAGACAGGCGGGTAATCAAAGCCAGACTAAGGATCAGGAAACCAGCAGGGGAGGAACTAACGTTGTGACGTCGGAGCCGGAGAACGCCAAACAGCCACAAGGACAGGCAGACAGGGACCAGGAAGCGCACAGGCAGAACTCGTGGTCGGGGACAGAAGGCTGAGGCGTTTACCAGGGCAGAGACGAGGCAGGATGGTCAGGGGACGAGCAGAGTCAATAACAGGAAGTCAGTCATGAGATGAACACTGGAAAGTCTTGCATGGATACTAAGAACAATCTGGCAAAGAGCAAGTGAACCAGGGATGAATACATACTGGCCTGATTGGAGATGGAGTGCAGCTGGGGGCAACAGGTGAGGACAGTGAGGCTGATTAGGAGGTGTGGCAGAGTGAAGAGTGAGACAGAGGCAGGGTGAGTTGAAAAACACTGAGAGGCATAGCAGGCTGTGACACACCTGAATACACACTCCTTTTTCAGGCCATTCATCAGGATAAATCCTGACAGAGGCACCAAGGCTGGACGGGTCAAAGTCTTGGAAAATGGGGAAGGTCACCCAGAAAAAGATGGCATCAGTCAAGCCTTGTGTCTCTAGTCTACTAAAGAAATTAAGGACTTTGAGTGTACTCTACATAAGTCAGTTCACACACTCAATCACACAAACTGTTAGTGTCTTAGCTACACTCTTTTTTCAGTTCACTTGGCCACTCATTCACCTCCTTAAGCTGCTCCCTCATACAGTCCTTATAAATATACACATACAGTACAACAGTTAATGTTAGAAAACCACTTGATTATTTTTGATAATATTTCTTGTTTATTTGCATTCAGTGTTTAATGTTCATGCAGACTAGAACACTTGTTAAAGATATTTTTAAATGACTGAAACTTTGGTTTATTTGCATGTTGTGTTTTCACAAGCTTAATAAAGAGAGACACTGTTTGAAAAGACACTTTGAAGCTGTCTTATTTGTCTTAAAAGTTTGAGTTGCAATTTCGAAGACCATGTTTCAAAGACTGCTAAGGAATAATTTATCAACTCATAAAGTTTAGGGACAAAAAATCACTAGTTCTTTTTGTTAGCAGTTAATTTATCGATTGCTTATACTGCAGCATGTTTTATATATGTATATATATGTAAATATGTATATATGTATAATAAATAATGTTGCGGATTTCACCAAGTAAGATTTTGTGACTATATAATTTCTTCTCTGGTTTTCATTTCATTTTCCAAAATGTTTCATTACGAAGTCTGTAATCATGACTGTGAAACCGAACTCAAAAAATAATTGTGAGAGATATTTCAAGGTCTTTGCCCTCTACGCTTGATGTGTCGCATTCAGAGATTGACGTCACCTGAAAGAATAATATTTCTTTGTTCTACATTGTTTTTCAGAACCTGTATTGACATTTATCCTGTGTGGCACAAAAGCAAGCTATGACAGGGTTTTTTCTGCATAGAGGATTGCAAGATGGCCGCCTCCATCAAATTTTGTACCACCCCCGCCTCCTGACAAAATTCTAGTAGGCTTACTTGTTTTCACAGTACTTGGTGGACTTGACATTTGTAACTGCAATTGCGGCTGTACGCCACTACGGCAATGTAGTGGCGCTGTATCATAATCCATGCATCAGGCAGAGCCATCCGAAATTGCCACAGAAGAAGAATACGAACGCTCATGATTTTGCAGCTATTCCAACAAGTGAATATTATCTCTTTTACACCCAAGCACACCCAGCTACTTGAAAAGTTTCCCCAAAATAACGTTTCATCCAATCATGTATGTTTTTTTTTTTGCAGAAATGTTTCAAAGCACAGATTATTTTAAAAAGAGAGTTTGCAAGGAGCATCACGAGGACAAGTGAAACAATGCAGAGCCCAAACATCATTAGTTCTTCTAATATGGGACAAAAATCTTAATTCATGTTACTGACAAGATACCTGGAATGTGTCAGGACTGAAAGTAGGGCCTAGTTCAAAGCCACAACTTGAAGGTGCCGGTGGAGGAGATCAGAGTGCAAGAGAGGAGTCAAGGTGAGAGCACCAAGTCTTTAGGAGTGTATTAACGAGTGTATTAAAGCTGATGTTTACATGATTTTAACATCACTTTTTATTCATTTTCCCAGATGTTCTCATACTGGGGCCCCCCCCGCATTATTATTATCAATATTATCATTATCATTATTATTATTATTATTATTATTATTATTATTATTATTATTATTATTATTATCATCATTAGTAGTAGTAGTAGTAACATTCTAAAGACAAAATGCATACTGTAGATACAAATACAGTTACATGTTATATTTACACTGTAAATATACAATAATTTACTGACAAAACTTTGACCAGTATTATGTTGTAAATTTACAAGAATACAGTAAAGAACTGCAAATGTATATCTAGTAATACACTGTAATTCTAAAACACAGTAAGAAACTGTAAGAAATACAGTACTTAAATACAGTACAATTAATTACTGTAAATTT